CCAAATAAGGTGTTGTTTGTACTAAAGCTAGACCACAGTGCACCATGCTTTTGTATTTCAGAAAAGGTTTATTGCATTTACATTGACGACATAACTTACTTGGACTCGTTGTTTAGGGTGCGTTCTTATATGCAGGTTATGCACAGGATGAAAAATCTACCAAGAATGTACCATGTACCGACGCCATTTTTTAGAGCAAAGCCTGATGGGACTTGAGTAGATGATTGGGCTGCCTGTGGTTGTCTTTTTGCAAACAAAGCAAACAGCGGAGTTTGCGCCCATCTTTTGTCACAGAAAATGGCGTCGCAGTACATTCCCATACATACAATCCCATAGATTTTCCATCTCTTGGTGCAGTAGTACGAAGGTTRSACAAAGTTATTYGCCGGATAAAGTTGATTTTTARTAGGGGCCTSTAAATTTTGTTGAGATTTTATCTACTGTATGARGATTTTGGATAAATATACAAAATGGATTGGTACAGTGGAACCTCAACTGTGCATAACTTCATCCATTTTCTTATAATCATAGCTTAGTAAGGGATTTCCCTTTTACCATTTAGCCAGATGACTCGAGCCTTCGTTTCTCTTGACAAGCCGAATCGATATCTGAAACATAACAATGTGTTTGACTCTTGAGCTTSTGCCTTTTTTATTATGCTTATTTGCTCAAAAGGTCAAACTCATGTGAATTTTATAGTTTATTCTTATGTAGTGAAGACCTTGACTCAGTTTTCATCGAATAAATCCCGACGACTGGAAACTGGGGCTAGTGAAAAGCAGTATTTCAGAGTGAAGTTAAAACACCCATGAAATGTTAAGCCCGTCAWTAAAGCCGTGAAACAAAATTTGATAATTGAAATTTGATAYTGTCAAATAGCCACAAAAGAAAACAATTCAATWAGAGGKTTTTTAGTGAAATATGTATTTCACGGTTTTATTGACTTAACTGTTGACTTAACACATTTTAGTACTCTAAATGCAYTGTCTTCTTTTGTGTCTATTTGACTATTRCACTTCAATAGTAACATTTGTTTCACGGGTTTGATGACTTCACTCTATGGAAGAATATAAAATTGATAATTTGTTTACTGAAAATTTCTTTACTTCAAGAAAAAAATTATAAAAACTGAATAACGAAACTTTTATGAATTCTTATTTACCGAAAGAAGCATCGWGCAAATTTAGAGAGTTGCCCGACGCAGACAAGCTTACCTTTTCTGGTAAGTTTCTCGAGTAGTTGTAGTCCTTCGTTGTAAGATATATTTGAACCTCCAATTGACTTAATAAACAGGCGTGCTTTTGATGTGTTTGCTATGTTATATTAGTGTAATCATCAGGATTCGCATTGTGTGCAAATCACTATGACGTTATTTGACAGCAATATGACGCCATCAAAACTTATTTGTTTAAATGCGAAGGAGTAGAGAAACGACTTAAAAAAAATTGCGCAAGTATCTACCAACCTTATGTTAGGGTCCAGTTCTAAGAAGAATTGCTTCCGTCAATATTCTCATGGAGGGTTTCAAAGAGTGTCCCTCAAGGATACGCTTCTGGACCTTGTCTGGTATTTTGACCTAACTATTCTCCTCAACCACGTGACATCAAGATCAGTCCAGCTATCCTTCACCACATGGATGGGGAGTTGGCAGACTAGGTCCAATTCTAAGAAATGCACGGTACCATATCTCATTGACCAACAAGAGGACCTCTATTAACAGGAGTAAGGTATTCCCAACACTGATCGTAACGCCGGTACTTTGATTACGTCGTTGTCGGGCTTCCTGTGTCGATGCCCTTTGGCGAGTTACGTCCCGCAGTCGAGTTCTGTCTTCCGTTGTTTGTCAATGTCATTTAAGGAATTTTTTCTTTGTTATTTAGGTGTTTCTTGTATTATTTTACAAACTTACCCGATGAAGTCAAAGTACAATATATTGACGACTTCAATGTGTGTTCTGATATGATGTAAGCTTATCTTTTGTGGAACTCGCTTTAATCACAGATCTACACAGACGGGATGGATCGATCATGGATGAGCGTGGAAGGTTACGTTCAACCTTTGAATAATCCAGGTATAAATAATTGTTTAATSTTGCGTAACATAAATCTTATTGTTTATTAATTAGTATGCTGTTCAATTGTCAATTGTTTAATTGTGTATTAGTAATCTACGTCGTTGCTGTATGTCTCGAGCGGCTATCAAAGCATGCTGAAGGCATTCAGCCAAACAAMAAAATCCGCTCTGAAGCCAGSACGRATTAACAGTTTTAAACTCACRAAGGCGAAGACATTGCTAAGTTATTGATAAACTAGCTTACCCAAGCATTGCATATTTTCTTTGATGAATATATTAATATTTGAATGTTTATTGAAATTAGGCTTACATATTTTTAAGCTTTAATTACCGCAATTGCCGTGTGAAATTGGATTTTAAATCGACCTAATATCCGCCAAAACAAAAATTGATTTTCAAAGTGGTGTATTATGTATATATAATATGTTAAATGAAATATTTCCACAAAGGACAAGCTATACTATCACCATCAGATTGTCTATCTTGCCTGTATGTATTTCCTTTGTCAATGACTCGATCTAATTGACACTGAATAACTGCAGGAACTGGCTCATATCCAATATAGGAACTGCAATTTATACTAGATAGCCTCCTTCACAGTCTTCTCCTAAAGGAAATGGATTTTTTTTTGGTCTTTGGTCTTCCTGTGTTGATATATCCTGACCAAGACAAACTCATTTTCCTAACCCCTGCCCCTCCTGGCCGATTTTCTGCCTTAACACAAGAATCCCGCAGAATAAAGTTGCTTCTGCAAAGGAGGCTATGTTTATACTTGCTGCCTGTGTACCTTAATGCTCGGGTGTCAAGCAATAAAATGCATAATCATAGTTCGAGATGCATTCGCACAGGAACTGGCCACCTTATATTTGGGTACAAACTGATGTAGCGCCTGGATTTTTAACTGGGCACCAKTAAAAAAATGCAATATTTTCAACCCCCCTAGACCGAGGTGCCATGCATATACAGCCCAAGTGTGAACTAGCTGTCTCTGGAACTGCAACAGTACACTCTAGTACAATGTCCTGTAGACCTTGTACCCAGGCACTGCCTGCCACAAAGTTACTGTGTGAACAAATCTTCCAGAACATGGCGCCTTTGCATGTGCCATTGCTAGAGCAATGGTACCAGGGCTTGTCATTCGAGGGCATGCAGCAGGTTTAACATTACCATAGCAATCTGTCTATATGGTAGATGGAACGCAATTTAAATGAATTATTTATTCAGTCATGTTGGTCTTCTTTTTTAGTTGAGTTAAACAAGTTAAGAGAAACTGGAAATAAACAATGGTAAGTAAGAACATTATCTTTTTAGTTACATTTTATACAAAACCTTGATAATTCATGAGCTGTCCTATTGTCTTTCATGCTATATAGTCAATCTCATTAATGTTGCAAAACATGAAAGTTTGAGATCATTCAATTGATAATGATAATAATATTTTTATAATATTACCCTTGTCTATACATGTGCATATATACTTCTAACAATTTAATTTATAATATTAATACAAGGATAATATGTTATATGATATCAGAGAGGCAAGATTTTGCTGTAACTCCGAGTTTCGTGCTATGCACTCATCAGACAGTATATATACAATAGGATAAAGAATGATAATTTATAATGTTTAAAATGAAATAAGATTAATTTATCCTATAAATTATCATTCATATCCTGCTTGTATTTGTATATATTTTAAATCATAAGAAAAATAATGACCAATTGAATTTATAATAAGCTTATCTCTTGATTGCCATCTTTGGCATATCAGTGACAAGTTTAAAGAAATGTTCAAAAAAAGTTCAATGATGGATTAGATGTAGTGCTTCATGTAATC